ACTAGTGACCTACCATTAAAGTTCAAACCTTTATCAGAAAGGCCTTTTACACTTTGTTTAATTCCTTCTTTTCTGAAGTGAGCTAATGCAGTTCATGTTTGCCTGTAACTAGTTGTTTTGGACTAGTGACCTACCATTAAAGTTCAAACCTTTATCAGAAAGGCCTTTTACACTTTGTTTAATTCCTTCTTTTCTGAAGCGAGCTAATGCAGTTCATGTTTACCTGTAACTAGTTGTTTTGGACTAGTGACCTACCATTAAAGTTCAAACCTTTATCAGAAAGGCCTTTTACACTTTGTTTAATTCCTTCTTTTCTGAAGCGAGCTAATGCAGTTCACATTTGCCTGTAACTAGTTGTTTTGGACTAGTGACTTACCATTAAAGTTCAAACCTTTATCAGAAAGGCCTTTTACACTTTGTTTAATTCCTTCTTATCTGAAGCGAGCTAATGCAGTTCACGTTTGCCTATAACTAGTTGTTTTGGACTAGTGACCTACCATTAAAGTTCAAACCTTTAGTTGCTTCATTTTCAAGCTACGTAACTGTACACTTTCATGAGCCTAATTTTGACACAAGGAATGCATTAATCATCTTCACTCTACCATATACTACATAAATAACTATGTTTACCAAACCATTTGTTATATGAAAAATACATTTGTATGTTAAAAGTTATTTAAATGATCAATTGAGCATAAACAAAGAGTTAGCAAATGTGTAAACACTTTTGGAAGTGGTCTAATTTTAAATGTGTAAACTCTTTTGGAAGGACTCTAATTTTAAATGTGTAAACTCTTTTGGAAGGACTCTAATTTTAAATGTGTAAACTCTTTTGGAAGGAGTCTAATTCTAAATGCGTAAACTCTTTTGGAAGGAGTCTAATTTTAAATGCGTAAACTCTTTTGGATTGGATCTAATTTTAAAAGAGTGCAAAACTTCGCTTATCTTTTTGTTTCAAATAAAAAGCACTGCCTTGTGTGATCAATTTGCATTTTCCAAAACTCTTAAGAATTCAGAAAAACTCCTCCAAGATTGTCAAATAATAATTTAACCTAATTCTAGTAAACACTTAAAAATCATCCAATCTTGATGATGCAATAAAAAAAAAACATTACCAGCAATAGCTTTGGTTTGCCGGAAGACCACTTCTTCAGTCTTACCACTCTCTCTCTCTTCTAACAGCTCGCCAACACAAGCAATGACTTTCAAGCCTTCTGCAAGAGCATGTCCAACTTTCTCGGCGACCAGCTGCGCGTATTAAAAAGAAACAGGATGACGGGTTACACTACTCATATCATTTCCATCTTTTACTAATACAACTAAATCATTTCATCGTAAAGTTTTGTTGCAATTCTTAAAAGTTATAACAAAAACTTGAAAAAGTAATCTTATTCAAGGTATATAGCAATCTAGTTGGGAACAGTTTTTTTTTTTAAATCTAAAAAGCTCTACGGTGCTAAGTTTTAAACAACCACTCTACAAGTTTGTATTTAATGGATTTAATCACACAAATTAAGTTCTCCAGTTTAAGATATCACAAGCTTATATCATCGGTACATATTGTACTCAGTCATTCTTATAACTATACATTGCAGTTCGAACCAAAACAGCAGAAAACTTGTGAACAGTTTTTAATTTTACTCTTAAGTATATAACTTGCTCTTATTGGACGTTAATATTAACAGGATTCTTGGTAATTGTGAAAACTGTTCAGCAACTGAATTAATTCATCAATTAATTCTTAATCTGCAGCTAAATTTGTAATTGCTGTTACTTGCAATTTGTACAGGGTAGTCCAACAAAACTACACCTATCCATGTTACACTACAGTTTGTGTGGCCTACCCCATACTTTATAGAGAACAGTAAAAAAAACTTACTGCCTTAAATAATAACAAGTTTTATTTATAGATTTACTTTATCATAGGATATACGAAACTCTGAAACAAATACTAAAACTTCTCAGTCAGAGGATCATCTCATTAATGAAGTTTTGTCGAGATGTTGGGTTATGAATGTTTGCAGCTATAAAACTTCAATTGATCAAAAAAGTAATTTTTTTTTAAATCTTAACATTATTACTTGATTGTTTTTTTTTAACATGGCAATTTTCCACACATTAACAAAAACATTTTAATCAAAGGAAATGTTATCAGATTGACAGATAAAAGTTCATTTTATGTTTTATTACCAAATACAAAAAAAATAAAACTAACCTGATCGTTCTCTCCAAAAACGTTGCGTCGTTCAGAGTGTCCAAGGATCACCCACTCAACTCCAACATCTTTGATCATAGCTGGACTAAAATATGACAAGAACACCAGTTTTAAATATTTACCAAGTGTATAGCCCCATACTATCCGGTGACATTAAAGGTGGGAGTTAGTTAACATATGTAAATAAATGTTTCCAAGACCACATGTAAAAAAAAATCTGTCACTACGTAAATCAGATGTTTTGTCAATAACCAATGATCATTGCACATTAAATTGAAATCTGGTCATTTAGAAGCAATTAAAATTACAAGTACATAACAAGACCAATAAGCCACAAGCTTGAAAATTGAGATTTATATCGTGTGGTTAGATCTTAAAAGTATTGTGTTATAATTAATGAGAGTTTGTAAGTGTTTTATTATTAGGCAGATTTTCTTATAATTAATCATGGACTTTATATGTGTTTTATCACATTTTGTGAACATTTACGAGGTTTTTTTTTCTTAGATCTTGTGATGAGGTTATGATGTTCAGTTAGAAGTTTAAAGTTCAGTTACATCACTTGTAAAAGTCTAGACTTGGCATTTTTAAATTGAGTTTAATTCTACTTAATAAAAATTTGTTTACAATAGCACCCAAATAGGGATCATCTTTGGGTTAGAGATAGTTTAGCACCCAAATAGGGATCATCTTTGGGTTAGAGATAGTTTAGCACCCAAATAGGGATCATCCTTAGGTTATAGATAGTTTAGCACTCAAATAGGGATCATCCTTAGGTTATGGATAGTTTAGTACCCAAATAGGGATCATCCTTAGGTTATAGGTTGTCAAGTGAAAATTTAACGGAGAGACAGAATTCACATTTCGAGTTCATAAAGGTTATATAAAGACATGTTTATTAGTATCAGACTTCAGGAAGTAGATGGACAGAGGCCAGTGCCAAATTTCTAGCCAGTGGTCCTATAGAGTTTTTGAAGTCAACTGATTCTAAAATAAGCTTTGAAAACTGGGCTGCGAATGCTTTATACTCTGACAAAATGGCATTAGCCCAAGACGTATTCTGTTGAAAATAAGAACTTAATGGAAGTGAAACTGCCAAAACGTTTAATTGAAAAACAGTTCTTATAGAAACTGTGGGACTTTCAAGTCATTCCCTGAGAAATGGTGAATAGTAACTACATATATATCGCAAGGAGATCACGTATAACTGAATTACACTAGCTCAACTTTTGATATCTTATTTAACAACCACAAACACAATGTCAAACACTGCAGTAAAAGCAAACGATGTGGGTGCCACTGGACGTATAAATAACGGATCGAATTATCGTGTGGTATACGAAATTTTGTTAGATTACCAATTAAGAAATTCAAGTATTCTATTATTGAGATGGCAAAAAAAAAAGGAAAAATGTTTCTTGTAATTGAACTACCTCGTTATTAGCCTTTGGAAAATTTCAATGCTAAACTGACTATAGAAAATAACAGTTCGTGATAATCGCTTCTATTTTTAAAACAATTACCAATTAAGAAATTCAAGTATTCTATTATTGAGACAGCAAAAAAAAAAGGAAAAATGTTTCTTGTAATTAAACTACCTCATTATTAGCCTTTGGAAAATTTCAATGCTAAACTGACTATAGAAAATAACACTTTGTGATAATCGCTTCTATTTTTATAACAATTACCAATTAAGAAATTCAAGTATTCTATTATTGAGATGGCAAAAAAAAAAGGAAAAATGTTTCTTGTAACTGAACTACCTCATTATTAGCCTTTGGAAAATTTCAATGCTAAACTAACTATAGAAAATAACACTTTGTGATAATCGCTTCTATTTTTAAAACATCTTAAGTAACCATTTTTTGCTTGGATTTTATTTTGTTCAACAAAGGTAAGTAACTTTAAATGTTCGAAATACAATGAGGAATGTTCATAATTTACAAAATTATGTTGTTTTTATTTTCTTTTATGCCAAGTTTATATTGTTCAGTTGTATCGTTTGGAAAAGTCCAGGCTCGACGTTTTCAAATGGAATACATCCTGTTTTTTTTTAAGAATCCTAGTATTAATGGTTAGTCGTAGAAGAGAATAAAAAATTCATTGCATGTTGATCAGCCTATTTTCAAAGTGAATCTTTACAAGTTTGAAATTAAATTCAACTTTATGGTTTTGAACATATAAACAATGTATAGAACTTGAATCCAAATCGTAAACCAAATCAACTTCGTATTATTACTGTTTTTTTAAAAAGAATAATACGTGTCATTCTACAATACACTGACAAAACTTTTATCAGCCACGAATATAATCAAACTCAACTTGTGTCATCTGGATCCGATCGCGATAAAGTAACATCAATAGTTCTCTTACAACTTCACTTAATAACCAGCCGAACATTTTCCCTCAAACCACAGTTGAAATATAAAACAGTAGCTAGCAGAACGTAATTCTGACGAAACAAAAACAAAGTACATGATAGAGTTTAGTTATTTACATAACAACAAACTTGATATTTTTCCTTAAATCATTTTTAATGTACCTTTACCTTATTAGATATCTACCCAATTACCTGTAGTCTAGTAAGCAGTAGCTAGAAATTATTAGTTTGAACAACACCAAATGAGAGACAAATTCATACATTTTATTTTCCACTGACTACCTAGAAATGTTACGATACAATCTTGACAACACTTGTCTATATAAAAAATGCTATAATTACACGTTCTTTAAAACTAAAACAAATGCAAGTGTGAAAGAGTAAAACCTCATGGTCACAGCTCACCTGATTTCTCCGGTAAACGCACCACTTGCAACCTTGTAGCAGTTTTGGGCTGCAACACCAATTGTAGGTGGTAAAGCTTTTCGGGAGTAGTCGAGATATATGGAAGGACATCCAACAACAACTTCTATAAATACAAATATGCAAACATGAATGAGCTTACTGGAGTAAAACATAAATCTCCACAAAGATACATATATAGAATATGGTAAAGCTTTTCGGGAGTAGTCGAGGTAGATGGAAGGACATCCAACAACAACTTCTATAAATACAAAGATGCAAACATGAATGAGCTTACTGGAGTAAAACATAAATCTCCACAAAGATACATATATAGAATATGGTAAAGCTTTTCGGGAGTATTCGAGATATATGGAAGGACATCCAACAACAACTTCTATAAATACAAAGATGCAAACATGAATGAGCTTACTGGAGTAAAACATAAATCTCCACAAAGATACATATATAGAATGCTTCCATTAGTGAGAGGGGCAGCACATAATATGCACAGAATGTTTCTTTGGATGCCAAAAACTGAATGTGTGGAACTCCCCAGGAGGTTTCTCTTTTGATCCCAGATGCCCATAGGGCTAAAAAACATTTCTACCCAGTTTCTGACAGACCTTATTTTACTGATGTTACCCCATCATTTTTTTTTTATCAAAGACCCATGATAATGTAAACCCAACAAGAGGAGTTTTAGCTGTTACATCAGACTGATGCACATCTAATCCCAAGATATGAAAGACCTATGATAATGTAGACCCAACAAGAAGAGTTTTAGTCGTTCCATCAGAATGATGCACATCTAATCCAAAGATATCAAAGACCCATGATAATGTAGACCCAACAAGAAGAGTTTTAGCTATTCCATCAGAATGATGCACATCTAATCCAAAGATATCAAAGACCCATGATAATGTAGACCCAACAAGAAGGGTTTTAGCTGTTCCATCAGAATGATGCACATCTAATCCAAAGATATCAAAGACCCGTGATAATGTAAACCCAACAAGAAGAGTTTTAGCTGTTCCGTCAGACCGATGCACATCTAATCCAAAGATATCAAATAAATCTTCAGCAACCATAATGAGCACATACCCGAAAAGAAATGTGACAAAAAAAATGGATTAAATAAGAAAACATTCTTGGTACTTGATATGTGGGTTCAATTTTTACTTTTCTTTGGGGTAGGTGTACAGAGACAGTCTTGAAGGACCAAATGGTCATTTGTTGTCTAGTTTTTCTTATGAAAAGGTTCAACAAATTAGATGAATATAAAAAAAATAAAAACAGATTTGAAACCTGATAAACTTACCTTCATAATACAGAAGGTATAAAGTTTAATAATTTATTTTCTTGGAAAGAAACTACAGCCAACCAAATGAGCCAATATTATAAATGATCATAACTGCATCAAATAAAAAGGGGGTAGTAAATCATGACAAAGTTTCACCATTGCCTGAACATAGTAGTACTAGTAGTCTTAGAGACATCTGACAAATTCATAATACATACACGTTTTATAAAATTAAGAAGTTTACTGCTGTCCACGAAGTATGAATGTGTTGATATTTGGGCTCAACATACATAACTCCCTAAATAGAAAGTGTATAAAAAATAAATATGAGAGGAAAAAAAGTGGAACCTTACGTGCCAACACAACAACAAATGTACCATAAAGTACAATAAGTAAAAGAGTATAACAAATTTGTAAGTAAACAAAGTTGAATGTAGTTTTACGCTAATTTATTACTAGTACTAGTAGTACTACAGTCTACAGCATGGTTGCCAGATGGTTGTGGAGACTTATGGCCAAATTATTAGTTAAAAAAGGCCAACTCCATATAAAACACTACTATTTAACAAAAATTAAAGTTAAAAATATCATATTTTGTTAAATTTACTATAATATATAATAAAAAAAATTAAAATAACTCTCCTCAAATCACAAGAAAATTGTTAAGTCTTCATCTCCTCCTTCTTCCTGTGAGGCAAGTTGCTCCTTTTGTTTTGGACTGGTAAAGCTACCAGTGGAAATGCTAGTTTTATAATCATACATTACATCTGCTTTAAACTTGCTTGGCATACTATTTGTAGCAACAAAGTCCTTACAACACATTTGGTTTTCCAAAAGATGTGATCTGATTTTAATGACTACATCCAGGATATTAATTTTAATTCTATGGAAAATTGACCAAAATTTACTCAAACCTTAATTTTCATGGCCAAACACTGTATAAAAAGGTCAAATTTCTAGAATTTGGCTATAAAAAGGACAACCTGGCAACCCTGGTCTACAGTGTAATCTGTTAAGTGTTAAACTTAAAAGTCTAGTCTGACGGAAACTTAACTTTATTGGATAAAATAACACGCATTACACAGCATAAAGAAGCTTCTGTGAGGACGTAGGCGAAAATACTTCTCTCATAACTTTTAAAAAAGTTTTGCATTTTTTAAATTGTATACATTTTGTCATAGCTTTTACACTCAGAAATATTAATTAAACATCAAATGATCCTATTTTAAAAACAGCACACTTATTATATCAAACTTATTTCGTTACCATGGTTTATTAAATTAGTTATAGTTACACTAAATACTAGTCAGTCATGATCATATTCATAATTATCAAATTAATAGTATTAGTAATATAATTTGAACTTATGACTCTGATTCCAAATCCCAGTGTTATCGGAATTTACTTACCAGTGTTCACATCGAGTGGACCGGTAACCATAAAGTTGACAATATCATCAATTTTAGATCTGCTTCCATTCATCTTCCAGTTACCACCAACAAAGAATTTTCTGTTAGACATATTTCAAAATATATGTATTAACAACAACTAATGTAAATCCTTTCTTAAAAGTTACTACTGATGACACCGGCGACGTGACTTCACACACTGCAACAGCCAAATGACCTTGAGAAAATATAGCTTCGTAACACGGCTGTAAGGGGACGCCACTATCATATCTGGAGAATTTCACAACCAAAAGAGGCTGGTAAAAAGTCACACTTACGTTACGTGATACTTAAGTTTAAAGAAGAATAAAAATATTTATTTGAAATATTTTCGAAGGTAACTAAAGATGACAGAAATAAATTCTTTAAGCAATTTTCTTTTGGCAGGATATCTTCGTTAAAGGATTGCTTGATATCTTGTCAAAAAATAATTTAAGCTCTAAGAAAGTATTTTTTAATTATTAATCTTTCAGCCATAAAGCCAATTTACGTACAAGAAAGGCCCTGGTAGCTTAGCGGTAAACCTGACGGCTTATAACGATAAAAACCAGGTTTCGATACCTGCGATGAGCACACTACAGATTGCTCATCGCTTTTCTTTAGAGCTTCTCCTAAATATTTCTTTTCAACTGCACAATTATATTTTAACTTCGTCATTTTTTAATACATGACGCCTTATTGCACCTCATATATATAGACCTAGCAACAAATGATCCAAGAAGCGAAAAATATTGTTACGACAGCGGTAGTCACGTGACCCTGGTAACATCCATGATATTCTAGAAGGATTGGAGAACATCACCAATAATCCAGTATGTGCTAGGCGCCCTCTATTCCTGTATATAAGTGCGCCGGATAATATGAGACAAATTAATCGGAATTGAATTGCAGATAGGCAGAGATAAAGATGGACATTTGAGTCAAGCGCGGTAGTGACCGTAAGTAAGTGCGTGAATCATTGTGAATTATAGCGTGTGTTTAAAGTGACTGTGGAAATTAAATGTATTGCAAAGTTGAATTGAGAAAAAATAAACTAGTTTTATTTAAGAAAGGATTTGTATCTCTGAAGTTCCTCGAGAAGAATTTATACCGGGAAATTAACAAACAAACACAGAGATGTAACAATATTCTAGTAAATACATTTATGTATTAACCCTGGAATGGAATTTTACAGTCTTAAATATGTTTTTTTTTAATATTTATCCACTTGAACTTAATTGTTCAGGTGAATTTTCACCTGGACAAATATTTTTACAGATGCACAATTTGTGATCAGTACACACTAAGAAAATCCCTGGCCTATTGTATAACTTTGTGCTTAACAAACAAACAAACAATTACCTTCTGTTTGAAGTTAAGCATAAAGTTGCACGATGGACTATCTGTGCTCTGCCCACCACGAGTATCGAAATCCAGTTTTTAGCGTTGTAAGTCAGCAGATGTGCCGCTGTGCCACTGGGGGGGGGGGGGGAACAAACAGTTTGTTATGAATTTCGCGCAATACTGCACGAGGGCTATCTGCACTAGGAGTCCCCTAATTTAGCAGTGTAAGACTAGAGCAGGGGTCACCAAACTTTTTTCAGTTATCTCTCAATAGATGGAGAAAAAAATTAAGAAAGAAATACTTGGAAGTTCAGTTATCTCTCAATACATGGAGATAGTACGGAACCATTATTAATAACCTTTACTTAAAATACAATAGAAGTAAGTACTGTCACTACCTTATATTTGCACAACAAACAAGTCCTGATGCTCATCCAATTACTATCAATTTAAATCCGTTTCTATTCATTCCAGAATGAAAGATGCATAATTTATGTTTATTTCATAATTTTTTATGGTGGTTGAGAGATCGTTAAAATTTTCCGGACCCGAACAGAAATTGACAACTGAAGACAATATATAGTTTTCT